GTATTAAATATTAAAAAGTTAACTGTTTCCGGCAGAACGTTCTTCCCTCTTCCGGCTATGTACGAACAAGATGTGTCTGTGTAAGAACCCGAATAATAAATGCTTATCTCGCTAACTATCGGTCTTTTCATTAAAGAAACACAAGTTCTGATAGACAAATTGGCACTTAGTAGGTATGCATTAAAGATTTGAATTTGAATAATAACTTTCCTTCGGGTATTAACAAAAACCTCATTTCTTATCTTCCTTTTACGTTCCAAAGACCACGGTAGCGATCCCGTAATTTTATCATCCTACAAAAAATCCTAAGATGCACCCATAATTCAATTACAACACTTAATAAATAAATTCTCATTTTCTTCGAGCTATAAGGCTGGAGTGTATAGCTAGCCCGCAGCGCACGCTAATTGACAGGGAAGTGTGGTGGGCCCTGCCACGATTAATGGGACGCAATGAGAAGTAACTTTTACAATTTACTGCGGAGGTAGATCAGCGGTGTTCAAAGTGTAGGGCTTGCAAACCTGGTGCAGAATAAGCATATTTATTTTCAACTAGCTGTCTCCGCGACTTCCTACGCGTCAAAATAGTTTGAATAATGTTACAAACAAACTCTTCAGCTTACAATATATTTTTTTTTTACAAAATGTCGATACGTATTAATTTAGTGCAGAAGCTGCTAAAACAAGAGTAAATATTAATCTCAGCATAAATCGTCAGTGATTCGAAATTTTGACATATTTCCCATACTGAAACTGTCAGTGTGCCAGTTATACCAGGAGTTATTCTCGGATAAAAGTTTGCTCGGATCGGGCCTTACAGTTGTTGTACACGATTGGAAATAAGACTATTATTATTATTACTATTAAATTAGAAATAGCTACATAGTGCCATTGTGTGCCACTTTGTATGCAGACTCAGAAGAGAGATTGTAAGAACTATTTATTAGTCTAAACAAATAAATAAATTTTGACTTTGACTTTAACTTTGACTTTGAGAGCACAAAAGCTTAAGCTTCAACGTGATTGTAATGAGAGCGATTTTGCAGTTATTATTTTCTTTATCTGATGAGCTATCTCTACTAACTTTTGAGTGCTTGGTAAAATGTAATACACTGGTCATCATAAAAATCGACCCGACCCACCCGCGACAAGCACTTTTAAACGTATGCATCCCCACTTCCCACCAATATAACTATACTATATTACCATTTAAAAGCCTAGTTCTAAACTTCATTTCATTAAAGGAAAGGTTTTTACCCCAAAAATGTGTCTGTAGAAGAATCCAGAGTCACTTCTTCAAAAAATAGGTAGTTACGCTTGAGCCAACTTTTATGGCTATAAAACTGTTAAGTTGGGATTAATCGCTATCCATCTGTTAAAGAGGACACGTGAGATCATTATTTGGTTTTATAACCATAAAAATTGGTCTAATTGATCCCAGAGGTGAGCCCAAAGTAAGGTCTTTTTTCAAGTTTTTCAAGTCACATTTATTGTATATGTTAATCGTTTATTAGGAAATTAAATGTGTTTTTCTTTAAGGATATTTATTGGGCTTTCAAATAATACCAATATTGTTGGGGCACCATGATTGTGTCAGTAGAAACGAGTTTTCCTGTAAAACGTAGGTGGGCCGATTTTTGTGATGACCAGTGTAGATATATGATAACAACTTGCGGTTTTATGATGCTTAGAAAGAATAGTATAGAGTTTGACAGGCTTTTGACGTTTATTGTTAGTGTAAGATGCTGCCACCCAGTTACAATATACAAAATGTTTGGGAAGCACTGACATTGCCCATTTCACCTGATGGCAAAGAATGATGGCGCTTGAAAAACAGCCATTTGGACAAAGTGCCGCGTCATTCTTGTTTTGAATTCAGCCCGTTACATCTGAATGAAATCATATTTAACTTTTTTACCCTTTTTTGGAAGTTTAATAAATGAATGTGAAAAAATAAACTTTAGGAATACCTACGAAATAGGCGACTTACTTTTTCGATTCGAATTATTATTCAATTGTCATAACTGAACTTCATTTGTTTTATCAACTTTAGGCACGTTGGACCTTTTATAATATTAATTGACCTATGGTCCGATTGAGCTATTTCAGTAACATTTGGCAGTATTTGAAGTATGACATCTATATGATAGAGATATAGAGAGATGCCAACTAATGCGCTGAGTTCGTAACACAATGTCGCATTAGAAAATCACACACACAAAGAAATCAAAATAATCATTACACACTGGTCATATCAGTACTCATACTACGCAAGCAATGTAAGCTGTTTACATTATGACGTCGCTGCTGTCATCATTGCTTTCACGAGCAATGTGTTCTGTTTTTGGGCATATTGCTACTACACCGGTTCCGCCCCCTTGTCACATCTCCCTTTAGTTTCTGTGATCTCTAATGATACCAGTAGATTACAGCACACATTTATCTACAATGAAATTACTCATAAAGTAAATAAAAGATCACACTAAATTCCGACTGCTGTTATCAGTGAATGATAAGGCTTTATATGTAGGCCGGCGGTTATCGGGGTTCAGGCATCCCTTAAATCCTTATGATGGTCTCCATAAAAAGTATTATACTAAGTAAGGCAAGGGTTCTTTTTAAAGTATTTTAAACAATGTATCTGTTAGTTACAAATACATAAACTCATTTTACTTGTCAATGACAATGAATTTGTGCATATGTGTCTCATTGCATAGCAAGTTGTACATTATGATTTTGTAGTGAACCTGAAACACCTGTTTAAATTCATAAAGTTACATATACTTTTCTTAGCAGTTTCTTTTTGTCTAACCATTCATCATTTCAGCCATAGGACGTCCACTGCTGAACATAGGCCTCCCCCAATGACTTCCACATCGCACGGTTGGTAACGGCCTGCATCCAGCGCCTTCCTTGTGGGTGGACGTCGCACGCTGTGTTTTCTGGTACGCGGCCTCCATTCCAGAACCTTGCTGCCCCATCGGCCGTCAGTTCTGCGTACTAACCATTACTGAAAAGTATTAACTCAAATAAAATTGATAACAATTCGACAAACTTATTTTATTCTATTTGTCAAAGAATTGTGTGATAGATTGAAAAGCAATTGTGCCGTTCCCAACGGTGACACATCACCTATCAGGAGTTACAGAAATTACTCGACATTTTTCGACGAAATATCTAATATTCGCCGGCAGTTGTGTATCGAAAATGTATTTTCCACGCTATCGGGCGCCGCCACACCACGTGTATTGGTGTTGCCATCCATCTTGTGCACTCCAAATATATTTCGAAATTGACACTATTTTCTATCTTCCAACAGACACATTATTTACTGTAGACTGCTCTAACGTTGTGAAAATAAAGCATTTAGACTGATGAGAACACTATGAATAGGTTGTATCATCTTACTTTAACTTTAACAAACGTCAAAAGTCTCTCAAACTCCATACAAAATACACCGTTATACTCACGGTAAACATATAGTGGTGCAACTCAGCCTAAAAATGACTGTTAAAATCGCATACGTCACAACTTTAATGTAATGAATTCAAATTTTGCAATATGCCTTGATGAAAAAGCTATAACTTATTTTCAAAATCAGACTATAGGTAGAGAAATCACGTCGTTTACATTTTTTGCATTGAATGCAATATTTTTTCTAAAGACAAGACAGAGTTATCATTTTTATTCAATGCTATAACTTTCCTAGACATTCGGACATCTTAAAAATGATAAATTTTACTTTTATTATGTTTAAAAACGTGAGATGTTCATTTTTCGCTATGAATAATCAATGCTACAACATTCGTTCGCAGATTGACTAGTTTTTGTCGTATAAATAATTCAATAAGATCCTACGCTCAAACTACAGCTTCGTGCTCGCATAATCAAATAAATGTGTCTGAATAATTTGACATTCTTGCCGAAAGCTCGCATTGAATCTGAATAGTTACATTATTGAGATATTTTTTCTTGAAAAGTTTTATACGACGACGTTTACTATTATTTTAACAATATGTAGTTCGTTATCAAGTACTACTAAAATGTAAAAGCTTTAAGGCCGGCAATACACGGACCGCTAGAAGCAGTCAGGGTCGACAGCTTCAAGCTGCGACTGCACAGTGAACTGCAGAGTTTTATGGACGCACATACACGAACCGCTCGAGCAGTTGCAACTGATTCGGGCGGTCGACAGCACGATGAATTTTCATCGTGCGGTCAAGCAGTCGCCAGCCATACACTGACTGCTCGAGCTGTCGACAGCTCTCGCGCAGTTACCTCCGCCCACTTTCTTCATTCCACAGCGCGCGCGCTTTTGATTTTTTGAGCTGTTAATACCAACTGCTCAAGCAGTTATCACTGGCAGCTTCCAGCTGTTGACTCTTGACTACAAGAGTGGTCCGTGTATGTTTATCACTGACTAACTGCTCGAGCTGTCCGTGTATGGCGGGCTTAAAATTCATTTTGGGCTTATGACCAGAAAACTAAATCTTAACGTGTTTTAATATTCAGTTTAGTCGTAATGCAGAGAGTGGCAAACAACACAGTAAGTCCGCCACGTGCCGGAATCCGGCTTAATCCGCACACTGCCGACAATGTTTGTTGAGCCACAAGCCCCACCTATAAAATTACAAAGTAGATAACAGCGTGATAACTCTCCAAAGGCTCTTCTTTACGGCGCCTACACAACTCGTGGGTAGGCGATCAACTTAAATAATATTTTTTATGAAAGTCTGTTCAGAGTCCCAATAAATTTAGAAATTGCTTCAGCAACATGAGGCAACATCGTTTGTCATTACATTAAACACATGGTAACGATAAATATCGCAACACATAATGTCAAATGACGACATGACAGTTCTAGCTAGACGTATCGCGAAATATTGACCCCTAATGAACGACGCTCTAAAGTGCAGATAGTATGGTATGGTCACTGCATCACAGCACATAAAACGTAGAACCACTTACGTTTACGACTCACACTCGGCAATTTTGTTTCAGAATGCGCTATACGACTGAGAGCGGCGCGGAGTGGGAAGGTGCATTCCGGGCACCTGCCTCGCACCCACGGCTGTCGGCTCCTCATCCCGCAGCCGTCACCAAAAAACGCCCTGCTTGTAGAACTCCATAAACTGAACGTACCCTGCGCGGCGGGGTTCATACGCTTCGCTCCAAACACGCCCACTCTCTGTGGAAAACTCGACCAGATCCCACCGCCGAGCAGAAAGTTCATGTACTCCTCAAGCTCCAAAAACCCAGCGGTGGAACTCCACGGCCGGCCCTCGTTCGCCGCGACCTACCGTCTAGTAGATCACTGCCATGATATCCTACTGACGGCTCGGAACGGCTCGTTCGAGGTCGGCCCAGCTGTGAAGCTGTTCTGCTCGTACCACATCCACTTGCCTTACGGAAACCGAGTTGCGTTGAGACTGCAGATGGGCACGGGACCAAAGAGTGTGAAAGAGAATGATTTGTCGAATATAATACATGAGGATGCCCTCGCCCGGTGTAGAGGGATGGAGCTGACGTTGGAGGATGGGGAGTCGAGATGGAAGCACTGTTCGCAGCCAGGGGACCCTTTGCGTAGTGTTCAGATTATATCTGAAGCGAATTCTGTGCGACTGAACATTAGTGTGCTAGCGAAGAAGAATTCTTCGGCGATGTGGTTGAAGGTGTGGTGGATGGATAAAGCAATAGAGGATGTGGTGGGGCATTGTGACTACGGGTGGGTGTTGTCTGGAGACTTCTGCATATCGGCCGTGAGAGAGGCGAAGAGGCCGTGGAGGCAGGCCGAGGCTGAATGCGTGCGGTTGGGAGGACATCTGGTCAGCGTGCTGAGTGAACGACAACAACAGATTATAGACCAAATGCTAATACATGTGTGAGTATTATTGCTGTCTATTTCGCCAGCAATCCTTACCTTACTTACCTAACATTGTCAACCTAAAGCACATCAAAGCTGGATTCTGTCCTTTTTAAAAGGATTTAATATTATTATCTTATCTTTATCTTACCACACGTATCTTTCTCAGGCCTGGCGCAGGAGTGGACGACGTGTACTGGATCGGCGCCACGGACTCTGTTCAAGAAGGCGAGTTCAGATGGTCGGACGGCCTGCCTTTTTCCTATGCCCGTGAGTGTTTACAACTTTTATCTTTTTTATTCCTTCATTCATTAGATTTAAATGCCACCACTGTCACTGTATTGTGGAATTGCCCCCTTAAGAGAAAATTGGTTTAGCCTTTAATGATGCTACGAATTGATGTTTTCTCATACATATGTATGTATAGCCTAAACAAAGAGATTACTTGAGCTATTGTCCAATTCACACACTAAATCTGCCACCAGATAAAATACTATAACGGGAATCTTTGATCGCAGTTAATTTTCTTTCATAAAATGAAATAAATAAAGCAATCCACTTTTTCAGTTTCAACTTAGCCATGTTTTCCGCACTTTTGCGTTTGCTAGACTAGACTTTTCTGACTTTGTCAGTTACGGTTTTATAGTTATGCTGGTTGAACTCAGCCATGCTCTGAATAACTAAAACAAATGCAGCTCCAAGTAGCCATCAGCTAAATGTCCAAAGGTCAGACAACGTAATAACCATTTCCTGGCATTGCATTAAAAATTCACGCGGAGTTCACTCTTGTTCTTTTTCGAGTTACACTTTTAACTCTATGAGTAATATTAGTAAAGTGTTCGGAGGAAATGGAAAATAGTTTTCTTCGTAGAGACAAACATTAGGTTAAATTATATTGTGTTTCTAAAATTTCTTTCTTCATGGTAGTATACTCGTATAATGTATTAATTATCGGTGGTAGTATAAATGGTCCCGCTTGGTAGAAAGGCTTCAATTGAAGGGCTCAAAAAGCTCATTGGCAGGGAAACACTTGCATATTTCTAAGCGTATGAATAGTGGCATGCTATACATATGTAGATATAGGCAGTTAGGCAATAAAATAGGTATAGCTAAAGTATTTTATTGATGAAAATCAGTGGTTTGCAAACTATAAAATTAAATATCGTCAGCGGAATAGTTGATAAAGAACTAATTGTATCCCTTTCAAGACTTGCAGACTACAGCCTTTTCGTCGGCCGATGGTCGGACCCGATTCTAATTTGTATGAAGAATCGTCCGATCCAATGTGCGCACTTTCATACGTGTCCATAGTCTGCGCCTAGGCTAAGACTTAGGCCTTATCCAGGAGGGCAAATTTGCCACGACTGTCTTCGCGCGAACACGAGCGTACGTTGAGTCAACTCGCGCGTGTCTTGTGGACGCAATGTATTGGCTGTTAGTTATCTCACCAACGCGCGTATAATCCTACGCGCGTAGGATTCGCAGCGAATTCGCCCTCCTGGACAATGCCTTAGTGACATTTGGCATACATTTTTATGGCTCTAACCTGAAAGAATCCTAGCGGCATTTAATAGTGTCATTTACTGCATTTTATCGCTCAATGCATTATACTTTTCGCATTCCACCTCGGCGGCGTTCGCTAAATATTTCTTGTAGAATCCTCGGAAGCTGTTTAATAGAGCGGCTGGTCTCCGTGGAATGTCGCATTGCACGGGGTTCGCTTACTGTGTCGGACAATTAATTTTTTTTNTCGGACAATTAAATTTTTTTCCCATTGTGGGAGAGTAAAGTATTAAACCAGCTATGACTTTCAACTTGAATTAACCGCATTATGTCAGCCGTTTGGTGTACTGGCTCAGACCGGACTACTATGCCGAGAGGTCCCGGGTTCGATTTCCGGCCGGGCTTCAAATTAAAATGAATAATTTTAATAATTTCTGTGACGGGTCTGGGTTTTACTATGTAATAATATGTTTGTATTTAAAAAAAAGTATAACGGTTAAGCTAGCACCCATAACACAAGCATTAAAAGTTGCTTACTTTGGGGCTAGCTGGCGCTGTGTGAAATTGTCCAAACATTTATTATTATTATTACGTGAAAAAGAAATAACAAAAAATATTAGACGCAGCCAAATCCGCGGTTAAGTCTTTTTTACAAACATAGGATCTGCAGTTATTACAAATAGCTTAAAATAACCAATATCATATCGAAAATTAAATTTCAAACTAAAGTAGTATTAATTTAACAATTCACAGAACTATAGTATTAATTAATAGCTTCCCATATTAATAAAGTTAGTTCCGCTTTTCATTTAGTCCAATTTGATAATTGGTTTGGGAGTTACTGCTCATATTGTCAATTAATTAACACTTTAATCTAGCGAGTAACATGATTTTAATAAAACCTAGCCTTTTAATTATTTTAATGAATGCGTTTAAAATAATGCCTCAATAACTTTTGAAATAAGTAGGTACGGCTACACACTGTTACATTCGTTATAGATTTCGCGAAAATGGCATGCCTTCATATTTTATTTATTTCGACGGGGCTTGAGAATTAATCGCACGAATGGCGAAGCGATCACGATACATAGACTGATTAGAGTAGGTAACTTTGTTGATATTGATTATTCTAATTGTAAACAGAAAAAGNTAGCTGGCACTGTGTGAAATTGTCCAAACATTTATTATTATTATTACGTGAAAAAGAAATAACAAAAAATATTAGACGCAGCCAAATCCGCGGTTAAGTCTATTTTACAAACATAGGATCTGCAGTTATTACAAACTAGCTTTCCGCCCGCGGCTTCGCCCGCGTGGAATTTTGTCTGTCACAGAAAAACTTTATCGCGCGCGTCCCTGTTTCAAAAACCGGGATAAAAACTATCCTATGTTCTTTCCCGGGACTCAAACTATCTCTATGCCAAATTTCATCAAAATCGGTTGCGAGGTTTAAGCGGGAAAGCGTAACAGACAGACAGACAGACAGACAGACAGACAGACAGACAGAGTTACTTTCGCATTTATAATATTAGTTGGGATAGCTTAAAATAACCAATATCATATCGAAAATTAAATTTCAAACTAAAGTACGTATTAATTTAATAATTCACAGAACTATAGTATTAATTAATAGCTTCCCATATTAATAAAGTTAGTTCCGCTTTTCATTTAGTCCAATTTGATAATTGGATTGGGAGCTACTGCTCATATTGGCAATTAATTAACACTTTAATCTAGCGAGTAACATGATTTTAATAAAACCTAGCCTTTTAATTATTATAATGAATGCAGTGGAAATAATGCCTCAATAACTTTTCATGTACATACATATTTTCATGTAATGCGTGTTTGTCTTGTTAGTTGTCCAAATAACTAAAATAAAATACTTAAATAAAATAAATATTGAAATACGGCTACACTCTAGACACTTACGTTCGTTATAGATTTCGAGAAAATGGCATGTCTTCATATTTTATTTATTTCGACGTGACTTTAATTTAATTTATCTTACATAAGAATTAATTCAGCAAAATATACCTTTATGTTTATTTAATACTTGCTATGCCCTTACCCCACATGCACCCTATGTGATGTACTAAGTACCCTACCATTTACCAACTGTCAAACCACACATGTAATGCAATAAATTATTTGATTTGATTTGACTTGAGAACGTATCGCGAAATGATAACGATACATAGATTGATTAGGTATGTACCCGCATCTACATTGTTGATGTCCACGATGATTATTCATAAACAGAAAAATNCAGAAAAAGTGATGATTACAAGAAACACAAAAAGTTGAAACAGCGCAGATTGTAATGATCTTATTTAGAAAACAATATCTTGCAGTCATTACCTTTTAGTCTGCCTGATAAGAATTTGTCAATTGTATTATAATCTAAATGTCTTTAAAATCTTTTCAAATTGAGACTGAAATATCAAAGATAGGCTTGTGAATTTATAACTACAAAAATTCTGAGTTAATATTTGTCCAATGTCTCTTAGCATTATACAAACACTGCCCATCCAACGTTAAAAAAAACATCTATCTATAATCTAACAACGTTAAACTCGGCACATATCGCGAAGACTCTCGAATGGAACTGCCATCGAGTGGAGAGCCCTCTTGAGGACTTCGTGCCTCGAGGACTGAGAGCCAGTGGACGTTTAGGTAATCATAATCGGATATAGGGCTGCCACATTAGGGATTTGTTTAGGGATGTTATGGAAATGTAGTTTCGGTTATGGATACGGTTACGGATATTGCAATAATATTATACAGGTTTCGGTTACGGATTTTCTATTTATTTCGGATATCCGAAAGTTTTGGTTACGGTTACGGAAATCTGTGCTATAGAATGCAAATTGCAATAGTTGTCCAACACAGTTCATGCCTTACGAATAGTATGGATACAGAATAGATTTCTTCGGCAACTGTCACCTTCTTTTGGTCTCACAAAAAAGCTAAAATGCAATAATTAAATCAGCGTAGGGACTTGTTTGACTCTGCCTACATTCGAAACTTTTGAATCGGTTATGGTTACGGTTACGGATATCCATAACATCCCTGATTTGTATGTCCGGGACCCGTCCGGAAGGTGTCGTTAATAAGTATTAGTTTGACACCTCTGCTTTTTCATTCAGTTCACTGCTACGAGTAGGTACACTTGGCGCAAAGAATCATGGCAATAATAAAACAGTGCATATCGCGTTTTCTCTCGCACTCACACTGGTTATGGATGACATCACATAGAAGCAGGCATAGCGTTGTTTATAATACGTAATACTACTACTTTGCCTGGCCCATTCCCATTTTATTTGGGGTAGGCCCTCCGCGTCATGCGTCTCCAGGCGACTCGGTCCTGGGTTGTGTTACTGTTAACTTGGGCTTCTTTAAGGTCGTTATTGATTACGGANCTCTTGAGGACTCCGTGCCTCGAGGACTGAGAGCCAGTGGACGTTTAGGTAATCATAATCGGATATAGGGCTGCCACATTTAGGGATTAGTATGTCCGAGACCCGTCCGGAAGGTGTCGTTAATAAGTATTAGTTTGACACCTCTGCTTTTTCATTCAGTCCACTGCTATGCTACACTTGGCGCAAAGAGTCGTGCCAATAATAAAGTCACTGCATATCACGTTTTCTCTCGCACTCACACTGGTTATGGATGACGTCACATAGAAGCAGGCAGAGCGTTGTTTATAATACGTAATTTAATATTTTAGCGAGTCTCTGTTTCAAAAATTACTTATGGCCACGCAT